GGCCTCGCGGCTATAAAATGAGGCCGAGGCAGCCTTAATTTCCACTACATTTCAACCTTTTATTTCTCTTTCTAGGTTCTTTCTCTAGCTCCTTAAATCCCCTAAAGTCTAGGGAACCCCCTAGCACCCGAAGTCCCGAGAAAAAGGGTGTTTCGGCTCGGAAACGCTGCTCCAAGCAGAGCCCCGTTTTCGAGAAAACCCGCTGTAAGTGAGCTACGCCTACGCTATTTTTAATATAACTTTTATTTAATTATAGTAATGTTATTAGGACCTTAAAATAATTATTTGGGCTATTATTATGAGTTATATAAGAGTGTTACTTAACACTTATATAATAGTAATAATAGCTAGACTATTAATTAGTCTCGGTAAATATTAGACTAAACCCTAGTGGTAATGATACTAGGTTTTGTCAAGGGAAAATTGTTTTGAGATAACGAAGTGTTGTCCGAGTACCGAGTCACCACCTTACCAAGTGAGTGCATAGTTACTTTCATCTTACACATAGATATGAAATATTTTATATAAATTACGTGCTATGTGTGCATATTGTCTGAATACTTGTTGTCTATGCTGGATGAACGATTTTATACATGTGTTAAATTATTTAAACTGTATATGTATTTTATATCTACAAAATATATTGGGTAAAACATGGGTAGATAAAATATGAATTGAATGTTGAGATAAGAGGTGATATAGACCATGAGATAAGGATGAGAGGTGAACAATGAGAGAAGCCTTTTACTCAAGCGTGGGCCCGTCATCTAGCGGAGTATGAATAACAACCACGGACTATTCTAGACAGTCCAGTGGAACACTAGCAGACTCCCAACCTGTAGGTGTTGTGAACGATGTGTTCACCCGGTGTACTCTAAACCCTGGCGACCATGCGAGCTTGGTGCCTAAACCTTGGTCATCATGCAGATTTGGTGCCTAAACCCTAGCGACTATGCGGACCTAGTTCCTAAATCCTGGCAACTGTGCGGACTTAGTGTCTGTTGTATAAACCCTGGCGACTATGCAGACTTAGTGCCTAAACCCTAGCGACTATGCGGACTTAGTGCCTGTTGTATAAATCCTGGCGAGTGTGCAGACTTAGTGCCTAAACCCCGTTGACGATGGACTTTGTGCCGATTCCTTAGGATGATCCTTAGGAATGAATGAAAGAGGAATAGTTGATTCTTAGGGTAGATGCTTAAGAGTAAAGAAGATAATGGGGATGGGTACTTGGGTTAATTGTTTGATGATTAAACATAATAATTATATTATTGTGGGTTGAAAGCCCTACGTACTCACCAGGTTTCCCAACCTGACCCACTCAGTTTATTTATATCACAGGTGTTGATATTAGTCACATTACACTGAGAGATTAAGGAGATATAAATCACTAAGTGATAATGAATGTAAGTTCTGTTTATGCTTATGTTTCTGTATTGACGATGACATCCCAATATTTTAAAATGAATAAAATACATTTCTACGGAAATGCTTTCATAACGTATTTATCATGTTTTTCTGGGAATAAATTCCACAACATTTTTATTAAAAAAGAGTACTCTGATTTTTATAAAGCATATACAAAATCGGTCTTTTCTGGCAGTGAAAAATGGGGATGTCACATGCACACACACAGACACACACACACACACACACACACATATATATATATATATATATATATATATATATATATATATATGGAGTGGTTCAATAGGGAACCAATATGAGTGGAGGAACCAAGGAACCTATTAAGATGGTTGGATCAAAAAATTAACAGCCATTGGATTTGAGATGTAAAAGTATGAAAAACAATAGTGTCCAGCTGATTATAACTAAACACGTAACTTAAGGGGGCATTTTCGTCAACCTAAAACGTATTAACTCTCACTATTAATTAACGATGTTAGTTCATCAGTTTCACATATCAGTGAAATCGATTTTACCCTCTCATTGAAAGCGATCTTTTACTTAACCGACGAACATCGATTTCTAACGAATCTCCAGCGACGATTCAGTCAATGTCCACAGTGAATCTTCCCAAAAAGTTCGTCAAAATGAATCTAAAAGGTATATTTGACTGCTATTCATTTCCGATTATCTCATTTAATGCATTTTCAACATTATATTTTTTCGATTGATAATTTTCAAAACGACAAATCTAAACTATCTGTTACATTATGTATTCGATGAATCTGTGATTACATTATTTTATTAACAAAATCGTTTTAGACTGATTTGAAACCCTCGGATGATGAACTTTTAATAATTTGTATACATAACGAAAACCTAATGATTTAAATTTCTTGAAATCGATACAGAAATCATGAATATCTATATTACAAACTGAAATTTCCAAAACCTTTGTGAATCTAACTCGAATATGAGTTTATTAAGTAAATCGAAACCCTAATTTCATGAATTTTTGAGAATTTGTATAATTACCAAAAACCTAATGATATAAATTTCTGTAAATCGATACAGAAATCATGAATATCTATGTTTAATTGATATTGTATCTCTTAATGTGTTTCTCATTGTAAATTTATAAAGAGTTGCATTGATAATCTTTCGATTCAAACTGAATTCACAATGTGAATAAATATTATGTTAAATTCATTTGTAATCCTGATTCACATTGTGAAAAATATGAATAAATCATAACTTTCATACCATAAATTGATGTTTGAACTAATTTGTTAATCAAAAACAGGAAATGAAGAGAAGAACAATGAAAAAAAGGATAATAAGAAAAGAATGAAATTGACAAGAAATCTAAAAGATGTTCTACCTTCAACTACAAGTGAAAAAATTGAAGATATTCAAGATAAAAATAAAGGTTAGAACATTTGCATTCAGATTAAAATAACTAATTATCTAACCATATACTACACACTTATTAAAAAAAAAATTTTTTTTGCAAGTTGATCAACACTTTTGTTTGTATTCACTATGAACAAAATAGTTGTAAAAATTCTCAATATGTGTATGTGTACATCACTTGGTGAAACTCAAACTCTTTTGCTGTTAAATGCATAAATTCACAATGTGAATCTTGGATGTATGTCTCACATTCACATAGATTCACAATGTGAATCTCTTAAAAAAATAATTTTTTTTTGCAAGTTGATCAACACTTTTGTTTGTATTCACTATGAACAAAATAGTTGTAAAAATTCACCATGTGTATGTGTACATCACTTGCTGAACCTCAAACTCTTTTGTTGTTAAATGCATAAATTCACAATGTGAATCTTGGATGTATGTCTCACATTCACATAGATTCACAATGGGAATCTCTTATTTTTTTTTTTTTGCAAGTTGATCAACACTTTTGTTTGTATTCACTATGAACAAAATAGTTGTAAAAAATCACCATGTGTATGTGTACATCACTTGGTGAACCTCAAACTGTTTTGCTGTTAAATGCATAAATTCACAATGAGAATCTTGGATGTATGTCTCACATTCACATAGATTCACAATGTGAATCTCTTAAAAAAATATTTTTTTTTTGCAAGTTGATCAACACTTTTGTTTGTATTCACTATGAACAAAATAGTTGTAAAAATTCACCATGTGTATGTGTACTCACTTGGTGAACCTCAAACTATTTTGCTGTTAAATGCATACATTTACAATATGAATCTTGGATCTATGTCTCACATTCACACAGATTCACAATGTGAATCTCTTAAATTTTTTTTTTTGCAAGTTGATCAACACTTTTGTTTGTATTCACTATGAACAAAATAGTTGTAAAAATTCACCATGTGTATGTGTACATCACTTGGTGAACCTAAAACTCTTTTGCTGTTAAATGCATAAATTCACAATATGAATCTGGGATCTATGTCTCACATTCACACAGATTTACAATGTGAATCTCTTAATTTTTTTTTTTGCAAGTTGATCAACACTTTTGTTTGTATTCACTATGAACAAAATAGTTGTAAAAATTCTCAATATGTGTATGTGTACATCACTTGGTGAACCTCAAACTCTTTTGCTATTAAATGCATAAATTCACAATGTGAATTTCTAAAAAGTTTTTGCAATTTGATCATCACATGTTCAATTTTATATTGGTTAACATGTATTTTGTAATACTACTTATATTTTTGACATTGATATTAGAAATTTCACATTGTGTAGTTGAAGGTTCAAAAAAATATACCAAAAACACAGCAAGGAGAAGCGTGGTGGAAATAGTTAATAAATTAAGAAAAAATTAAGATGAAAAGACTATTGATGAAAATGTTGAAAAAGAAAAAAGTTTAGAAGGTGATGAGATTCAAAAAAAGCAAACAAAAAAATTGATGAAGCAAGATGAATATGTTTTGAAGACACTTGAAAAGAAAACAACACAAGGTTAGTATTTATAAAATTATAATTTACTTTAATATATAAAATCAGTTATCTTTAATTTTTTTTTAAATGAACAGAAATCATAGAGAGTCCAAGATTACAAAAAACAAAAAAGAAAAAGTCGATGAAGCAAGACAAATCTGTTTTCAAGACACCTGAAAAGAAAACAACTCAAGGTTAGTATTTATAAAATTATAATTGAATTTGATATTAGAAAATTAATTCTTATTAATTTTGTTAAAACATGAACAGAAATCAGACAGAGTCCAAGACTTAAAATGATTGAATAAAAAAAATATGTGACTCCTATTAAAGTTAATGATAGCCTTGTAAAGAAAGAATCTGATGAAAAAGTAACAGGTTTGTTTATTACTATTCACATGTTTAATTTACAAAGTTATAAACAAATTTACATGTTTATTTTATGTATTATATTATATTTTGCAAAACAAATTCACATGTGAATTTCTTGTATTGTTAGTTATTTTATAGTATATATGTTATATTATGAGAAGCTTATGAAAATTATTGACTAACAGGAAAAAGAAAAAGAAAAACAAAGACTTCCGAAGTAGTCAAAGAAAAAAAAAGTGCCAATAAATCCAAATGAAAGAGTATCTTTGTGAACAAGAATGAGCCCGAAGAAGTTTTATGATATTGTTGAATCTTTAAACAAAGAACAGAAAAAAGCTGTTAGAGAAATGGGATTGGGATCTTTGCTGAGAATTGCAACCAATGGAATTTCTGGGAAATTGGCACGTTTTGTTGTGAATTCATTCAATCCATCAGATATGAAAATCCATCTACCTAATGTGAATATAGACATAACACCAGAACTTGTTCATGATTTTCTTGGAATTCCTCTAGATGGAAAAGATATATATAACACTGATCAATGTGAAGGAAAAGAATTAATGGATTGGAAGCAACAGTACAATTTCAAGGCTATGAGACCATCAGATGTTGAAGAGAGAATTAAAGAATCATCAGATTCAGGGATTATTTTCAGAACAAACTTTTTATTATTGTTTGTTAATACCATCTGTGAACAGAATAAGCCTGGAACTTGTAAGACAACAGTATTGCCACATTTGCTAGGCAAAACACCTATGAGAGAAATTGACTGGTGTGGTTTTATAACCAATTGCTTGAAAATGTCAAAGATAACGTGGGATGAAACCGATAGAGGAAATTACTATTGTGGGCCACTTCTTGTATTATTGGTAAGGAAAATTCTTATAATTAACACTTTTATTTATATTATTATAAGAAAACTAATTAATCATAATTTTGTTTACATAAACAGTTAGCTTATTTGGAGTTTATGAGGAATGATAAGAATGAAAAAAGACAAATACATGCACTACATATTTGGGATTATGAAATGATGGTGAAAATGGAAAAAGCTGAGTTAAAGAGTGGTGACTTTGGAACTTTGGAATGGAATGATGATGTTATAGAGAATGATGAAGAATCTGACACCGATGAAAATGAAGATATGAAACTCGATGTAAGTTAATAATCTATATATTTAAAAAAAATTGAAGTTATGTTACAGATATATGTTATAAAATTGTAGTTAAGATGAAATTCATAAAGTGGTTCACATTGTGAATATAAAAGTGTATTTTATTACTTTCTCTGTAATAAATTCACAAAGTGAATATGTAATTTATTAAAATGCATTAAAAATGTGATACCTCATCAATGCATTCATATTCTGGAACTGTAATTTATTATAGAATAAAGTTAAAAAAATTCATTTTTATTGACATTTTTTATATCATTTCGCAGGAATTGGTATTCAAAGCGAAAAAGAATTATAAAAAACTAGTGAATGATAAACTGAAGTTTGGAAAGTTAATTGAGTTTTCAACAACAAAATTCACAGAGAGCGATGAGTTGAAAGATATGAAGAAAGTCTTTGAACAAGAATTCATTTATAAAACTCATAATGAAGATGAAGAAAAAAGCGATGAGAATTTGAATGAACATGAAATAAAGAATCAACCAATCATGGTAACACCAGGAAATTTGTACAATGATCCAATAGTGCATGAGATTGTTGATTCTATTCAATGTATTTTAAATTTTGATGATTATGATGATTTTGAAAATGTAAAAAGTTTTAGAGAACAAAAAAATAAAAAAAACAATAATAGATGATAAAAAAATAAAAAAATACTAGAAAATCATCAATGCCTACTTTTTCACTTGGACTTGGTCTTGGTCTAACACAAGAGTTTCAGGAAGGAGATGAAAGCAGTGAAGATGAACACATGAAGAAAGAAATAAAAAATGAAAAACTTGATGAAGGAGAAAGTTATGATTCAGAAGAAACAGAATGTGACAATAATATCTTGAGAATTGAAGATGATGAAGACAAAAAAGAGAAGTAGGAAAAAGATTAAAAAAATCATCACTGAAGCTATCTTCTCCTTATAATAAAAAACAGGTTTGTGCATCAAAATTTGTAGATCCAGATGAAGTGAAAGTATCAGATAGAATTTTTTCCAGAATTGGTAATAGCATGTAATAATTCATGTTATCTTTTATTTAAATACAATAGTATATAAATACAAATACAAATTAATTTTCTATTAACTGCTTTTTTGTTTTATTTGATTACAAATTAAGTGAGAAGGAATTTTCAGACTAAGAGAGGTTATGTGCTTGGAAGAGGAATAATTGAAACAATGCAGGCAGGATTATGGGTACATGAACATGTCATTGATGCTTGGACTGATATTCTGAACTATGAAGAAAAGCTTAAATCAAATTCTACAGTGAATCGGTATTTCTTTGATACATGAATGGTGGTAAGTTAATGTTGATTATATAATAAATAAAATTTTCAATAATCTGAATAAGTAACAAAATAGTTGTAAAAATTCACCATGTGTATGTGTACATCACTTGGTGAACCTCAAACTCTTTTGCTGTTAAATGCATAAATTCACAATGTGAATCTTGCATCCATGTCTCACATTCACACAGATTCACAATGTGAATCTCTTAAATTTTTTTTCTTTTGCAAGTTGATAAACACTTTTGTTTGTATTCACTATGAACAAAATAGTTGTAAATATTCTCAATATGTATATGTGTACATCACTTGGTGAACCTCAAACCCTTTTGCTTTTAAATGCATAAATTCACAATATGAATCTTCGATCTATGTCTCACAATCACACAGATTCAGAATGTGAATCTCTTAATTTTTTTTTTGCAAGTTGATCAACACTTTTGTTTGTATTCACTATGAACAAAATAGTTGTAAAAATTCTCAATATGTGTATGTGTACATCACTTGGTGAACCTCAAACTCTTTTGCTGTTAAATGCATAAATTCACAATGTGAATCTTGGATGTATGTCTCACATTCATACAGATTCACAATGTGAATCTCTTAATTTTTTTTTGCAGAAAATAAAATTCACACAGTGAATCCCATTATAATTCACTGTGTGAATAATTTTAAATTTTAAATTTACCTTATTGTGAATTTAACAATTTACTCTTTAAGGTTTGATGTATATTTTTTTTTTTTGCAGAGACAGTTCATATTTGACAAATATATCCCTTTCAATGAAAGATTTGATAAATTTGAGTCAAATATCAAAGATGCAATGAAAAAGGACAAAGAACTTCTGACATTTGAAAAAGTTCACTTGGTAATAAACTGTTCTTTTTGTTGAATATATTACATATTTTAAAAAAAGTTTAACAATTTAAATTATTAAACAGGTGTTTTTCCCAGTTCATCAAAAAAATCACTTTTACATCATCTGCATAAACTTAGAGGAACCATCGGTTGATGTCATTGACAATAGGAATTCAGTTGCAAAGTTTCCTAGAGCTTATCGTGATTCACCTAATGAATTGGCAAGAATAATAAATTTACATTATAAATATAAGTATTAATATACTATTAATCTAAATAAAATAATAATTATAGAAAATGACAATTTCTTTTTTACAGAAAATACTTTTTAGTAGGTACTTGATGAGGGTCTATCACAAATCAACTTCAACTTTGGAGGGTGTTGAACCAGAAAGGGTGAACATGAATTGGCGCACGAGGGATAATCATGTTGAATGTGGAGTTTTTTGCATGCGTCATATGGAGACATATATGGGAGATAAAACAGTAAATTGGACATGTGGGTTGCCAAAAGAATCAAAACAACAACAAAGTGTGTTAAACGATTTACGCATTAAGTATTTGACAAAGATACTATTGAGTAACACAAACACATACATGTCAAAAATCATTGCACAAACAGCTAAGTTTGAAAAAAAGACTAATGAAGAAATAAAAGATTTGCTCGACAAGGGATGGGAAAAAAGGGGAGAAAAGATATAGTACTTCAAGGATTGGAAAAAGAAGTGTAAAACTTAAAACTTAGTTTTCTATTCATAATTAGTATAAGTTTAGATGCACTTTAATTTCTTTAAGAACATATACATGCTTGTTATGTTACAATTTGATGTTAGTTTCTATATCAAATATAATGAACTTTACTAAATACTTAAAAGATGTTTATATTTTCATGTGAATGTCTACATGTATGTTATACAATTACATGTTTTATTAAAAATATGCTATTGGTGTGTGGGTGGATGGGTGGGGGGGGGGAGTGATTATATTTCTACTTTGAATAAAGAATTGAAAGTACATTGTCATTTCATACATTTACTTCATTTCTTTTGGTCTAAATGATTAAATTTTAATTTAATAGAAATACAATATACATAGAAATTTTACATTGTTTATATGTTAACCTTGTGAAAATTTAATATGTCAGACTCAGAATGTGAATTACAGTATACATTATAACATGTATATTTTATATGTGAGGTTAACAATGTGAATTATGGTACATATAGATCATTAGAACAATTAATAGTTGAGATTCACAATGTGAATTAAATTACATTAAGACAATCTTTAACATGAAATTTTTATATATGAGATTAACAATATAAAATACATAAATTAATTCATTAGCATGAAATTTTTATTAGAAAATATTCAAAACACTAACAATAAAAAAATATCTTTAACCAAAAACACTAAATTTGAAAAAAATATATTCTATTATTAGAAATAAAGTCTAAAACAATGAATATCAAAATTAACAACAATATTTCAACATTTCTAACCATTGAATGATCATTACAAAAATCAAATCTTATTTTAGTAGTCTTAAAAAGAAAAAATTAGAAACAATCAGCCTTCTGTAACCTCAGATTCTAAATCAGACTTCTTTAATCTCAAAATGCAACTCCTAGCATTATGATTTGGTTTATGACATAAACTGCACAACCTAGAACCCTTTTTAGATTTCTCAATCACTTTCTCTCTAATGATCTTGATTCTTTTACCACTGGCCCATCCCTTGTTTCTGATCCCCTCTGGATTATGAATGTTGATAACATCAGGTACTGCAGCTCCAATAATTTTTTCAATGTGAAATGATCTATTCGAAGATGCCCTTGATGAGGTACATAAAGGAATACCACTATCAACCTCCTGAAGTTGCTTTATATATTTAGCCAACTCATCCTCATTATTTGCTATCTTGTTAATGGACAAACGAAGAATAGCATACACATCTTGAATCAAACATTCATTTTTACTGGCTTTATGAGGATATGAGTACTTTTTCTCAACAATCCATCAGCTATGATATCTTTTTCCCATCTCCTCAAAATGAAATTTGATGGAATTTCATCATACTCTTTCATATTTAATATGAAAAACATATGACGACATAACAATCCTTCCTGCACAAAAAGCATGCAGCTACAACTGATGCTAATGTTATCACCCCTTCTACTAAATACAACCTACAAAAATTATCATTAATAAACAAATTAATATGTGAATAAGAAATTCTATCTCATACCATTCGATAAAAATTATACAAATTAACATCGATTTACATTATTAATCAACAGGACATTAGAAATCATAATACTATAATATAAATATGTACTTCAAATCAAATTCACAAAAAAATACATATTCCATACTAATCTAAAAATTTGTAACTCTATAAAAATTCACACTGTGAATTAGCAAAACATCCTACATTCACAGTGTGAATTTTTAACTATATTTTATATTTAATAATCTGTATTACGACAAATAGACATACCTTGTAACGAGTATTAGGACAATGAGAAGGAAGACTATTTCGATAAAAATCATCAGAATCTTCATCCTCATTCACATTTTTATCAATCAACTTTTTTTTTCATCTTATCTCTCAAAACATAAACTTCGCTTTCATCTTTAATAACGACAGATTCTTGAACACAATAAAACACAGATTTGTATAACTCTTTCTGAATGTCCAAGAAAATATTATGTGTATAAATTTTCGATGCATGCTTTTCAATAGCCAAAAACAGTCCTTAGCTTGGGGGTAGTAGTTGTGGACTGATAATCTAATAAAGATTGATGATGCCTTTGCTTCTCCATTGCACTATCAAACGACATCATGAACTTCACCAAATTTGATTTATGATGCAAAAAATATGAGAAAGCATAATTCAGACTCTCTGATCTTGAAGTAGTTCACATCAAACCAGAAAGTTCAAGATCTCTCATAAAAGCCGGAATCCATAAATCCCTTATTTTAAAAACAGACCTTAACTAGTTATTTTCTTTTAGATGAAACTTATCTAACATTCTTGAGCACAAACTTTCAAAATCTTGTGGAGAACATTGAAGATTCCATATAATATCAAAAAATGTCTTCTGGTCCGGATGGTTATAAACATCAATAGGAATCTAAAAAAGAGAAACACATAAGAATCATTACATATGTTGAATATTTGATGTAATTCATAGTAACATAACATTTGTTTAACATTATGAATTCACAGTGTGATTTATGATTTAGATTTGTTCCTTTCATTATATGCAAATTTACATTGTGAATTCACAATGTGATTTATGATCTATATGGTTATAAACATATATAGGAATCAAGAAACAAAGAATATACTTTTTCCTCAAGTTTTAGAGTGATGTGCCACATGCATAGTCTGTGGTTCGATTCAGGAAAAACAAAATTAACAGCTTTCTTCATTGATGAATCCTGATCTGTTACAATCATCATGTGTGGCTTGACAAATGCTTTACGAAACACTTCAAGCAACCACACATATGCATCTGCTGTCTCACGAGCTAGTAAACCAGCAACAAAAGTAACACAACGCTTGTGGTAGTCAACTCCAGTAAAAAGAACAAATACCATAGAATACCTGAATTTTTTTTTTGATAAGTATTATTAAAAAGAACAAATACCATAAAAAGAACAAATAAGGATTAGGAATTACTTGTTTGTCTGATAAGTAGCATCAAAAGATACTACATCTCCAAATT